AAATTAGGTTTAGAACATATTTATAGAGAAAATAAAACAAACAGGGTCAACCCGGAACACACCGGGTTTTGACCCGGTTTAAACACCTAATCGACTAGGCAATCGACCGGTTGGTCGATTGCTTTCCCGATTGCCTCTTGTCCACGGCTCTGGCCTTGACCCAATCGACCAGTTGGTTGATTGGTTCCATGATCCTCTTGATTCCTTACTTCTTCACTTCTTTTAGTTCCACTTTGCCCCATTAGCTTCCAAAACTCCATATTCCACTCCAAAAACCTAAAAGTAAGAAATGCAATGCAAATATGCACTTAAGGACCTAAACATGAATAAAAAATGATGGAAAACTAAGAGAAACAAAGTTAGAAAAGATGCAAAAACACAATATATCACTAAGTACAATAGAGGAAAGTTTAGCTTTGATATAGTTGATCTTTCCTTCGTCTTCATAAACTTCTATGAAAGAGGTTTATGTTTTTCATACATAATGATGAAAATTTAGCTTTGATGAAGTTACTTACATAATGTAATGATCCAACACTAATTAATTAATATACACATCGTTTGAATGCATTCTTAGGTGGTCACTGATTGCAGGTATATTGCCTGATCAGACTGCTAATGATGTCAAGAATTACTATAACACCAATTTGGATAAGAAGAAAGAAATGTGTTGTAAAAGGAAAATGAGAAAGAGAGAAGCTACTTCTTTAGCCACCACAAGGGCCGAAAAAATCAATGTTATAAGGCTTCGACCTCGATCCTTTTCCAGCGGACTCAGTGGCCAGTTAGAAGTTGGCCTTGGCGAAGGTAAGCACCAAAGTTGACGAAAAATGTGAGTTTGTGAAAGATCAATAGGATGGAGAGACTAGGTGGTGGGAGAGTTTGTTGGAAGAGAGCCAAGAGGCAAGATGCAGTAGGTCTCGTAGCTAATACAATCGACAAGGCAGCCAATTATTTAATAAAATAATTAGTATATATAGAATTATTTATTAGTATATATCATTTGTATATACTATGTGCTATATAGAATTATGTACGTATATTAATTATATAGTAATAATGTTAAATACAAAAATGCAAAGTATGAAAGAAGTTAAAGGAAAATAAAGATATGAAAGATAAAAGGTTCACAGTCCTTATTCTCGAGCTGTGGAAATTGTAATGGGTTTGATTGGTTATAGCTTTACAAACCTGTACAAAACATATAGCTTTGACAGTTACCAATCACAAAAACTTTATCAAAAACGTTACAAACAGTTTTACTCTCAGCTTTTTTTGTACAGCTTTCTTGTACAGTTCTTTCATACAGTTTTGCACTATTCCGGTAAAACTTACAGCTCCAGCTAACAGCTAAAAAATTTGTACAGCTTTTGGTTACCAATCAGACCCAATATATACAGCCAAAAAACAAGGTACTGTGCCGACTGTACTTTCACATATAGCCTTTAGAGTTTTGCATTTCACCAATCAGACTTTAATGATTTTTTTCTTATTTTTAAAGTATTCACAGTGCAACTGCCCACAACTTTTTATTTTCTCTTCTTTTTTCCATTTTTTTATGAAGTCACAAAAATGGGACTTTTGGTTGTTGTACAAAAAAAAAAAGATAATATTTACTTTTTTAATAAATATCACCTATGTTTTGGGAAAAACTACAAAATCTACCACTTATTCCCAATTTCTTTCAAAATCTACCACATTCTTTCCCTTCTTTCAACTCATACCACATTTAGTATTTGAATTACTAATTTGCCCCCCTTTATTTATCTTCCCAATTTATCTCTCCTTCCTATTTATCTCCCCTTCCTATTTATATCTCCTACAACATTAGCTTCCCTATTTATCTCTCTCTCCCTCGAAATACGTGCACTTTAACCAAGAAACATTATATCTCTTGAGACTAAACAATTAACTTTCGTTTTTGTCTCCAGATCTTGTCCCCGATTGGAAATTCTCTGTTGCGTCTAGATCTTGTCCCCGATTTCATCATCTTTTTATTATCATTAATCCCACATCTTGTCCACCAATAGTTCTCATTTAAGGGTTTCGAATTTTATTTAGATTTTTTACCATCTATTTTGGTCCATAGATTAGTTGAGCATTATTGTCTTCACCTACCCGGATTATTGAATTTTTTTTCCTTCTATTGCAAAATAACAAAATGATCCAGTTGTCCCCGAGTACTATTACTCATTCTATCTGAACTTGTCTCCGATCTAATTCTATTACCCATTCGATCTGAACTTATCCTCGATCTAATTCTATTACACATTCTACTGAATTTGTCCCCGATCTAATTATATTTCTCATTCGATCTAAACTTGTCCTCATATAACATACTTCCTCTGTTTCACAAAGAGTGTCATTTTATAGTTTTGCACACAGATTAAGAAAACATTAAATTTTTTGTTTTTTCTAAACAAAAACATCATTAACTATATACCTAAACATAATCTGTCCAATAGTAAAACAATATGCAGAATACTAATAGTCATAAAACATAAAAATCATTAAATTTTGCATTGAAAACCTAAAACGACACTCTTTGTGAAACAAAAATAAAACCTTAAAACGACACTCTTTATGAAACGGAAGGAGTATTATTTAAATAAAATTGTATGCAATTGTAAACGTGCAACATTTATTGCAACTTGTCCCTTTATCTGACAAAGCAGTCTGTCTCTTTATCTGACACACCAGTCTGTCCCTTTATCTGACACAACAATCTGTCACCATCAAGGACAATTTCGTCCACAATTTGCATGTGGCAATGAAATGTGGTATGATTTTGAAAACTCTTTTCCAATTGTTGTAGATTTTGAAAGCCACTTTTCAAAAAGTGGTACATTTTGCAAGATTCTCTATGTTTTGCTAGCAGTACCATTATTTAGCTAAATATAAATATTTTAAAGAGATTAATTAAATAAATGAATTTATTTAATAATATAAAAAAAATTGTATATACAGAAATTTACATAAATTTATTTATTTAATTATATTTATGGAAATTAATAGTCACAACAGCCAATCAGACTTTTATCAAAATTGAAAGTAATAGTTACAGTATTTACAGCCAGAATCTCTACAACCAAAATTTTACAGTTAAGTGTATAGTAACAGTCGTTACCAATCGGCCCCAAGATTTTCTAAAGTTTGGGTTGTAGTTTTTTAAATAACATGTAAAGCATGATTAGTTACGTTATAGTGCTGTTATAATATTTTTGGCTGTGGAAAGTTTCTACAGCCACTACCAATCATCCCCAAAATAGCTTTTGTAAGCTCTTGATGACGAGTTTACAAAAGTTATTTTGTCTCTGGTTTGTAACGCTTCTCTCGTCAGTCTATGAAACAAAAGATACCTTTTCAATCGTTGAGTTTAAGAATAATTGAACTATTTCTGCAGGGGCGGTCTTGAGTGGTGTTAGCCCTAAAGTGAAAACAATGAAACTACCCAATTATAAAAGATTGTAAGTTACAGAGTTTGAGGTCAAGACTAATCTCAACCACTCCTTGATTTTACATACACTTTTAAAAGAAATGTTGTCTTGGAAGTATTCGTATATTTCTTACGTAATGGATCGGTTTGTTGGACTTTAAATCTTTGCTGAACCGCCTAATTTTATTAATAATTAAACTCGCCGACGAGTATGGGAGTGATCCTTGCATAAAAGCATTTGAAAAGTTTAGCAGATCTCTAATAAATTAAGCTTTTAAGATACTAAGAGTTGAGAGAAAAGGAAATGATATTCTTACTATTCTTCTTTTAATGAGTATACTTTGATGGCCAAATGGCCTTTTTGTATATAAAGCTTACACAGTAGATGTACTTAGAATAACCATCATATTGTTTTGCAGAGAACGACTGCCAATGGGCTTTGTATCTTGTACCAGGCCAAGCTTGAAATTTCATTCAGGCTTATGTTGTTATGTTGTTTCTTGTGTTTGCGTTATTTTGTTGTTTTTTTCTTGTTGCTGTTGTTTCGCTCGAGGTCTTACACAATATTGAAATGCTCATTAAAAATTTTAAGATCAGAGATTTAAAATGAGCATTTTTTTTTTTTTTTGATATACCCGATCGGCTGATCCGGTAAGTTCCAGGGGAAACGCACCGAAATGCTTCCATGTGGACTCGTCACCAACACTTAGGTGTTGGTTTTACACTTTTAAAAGAAATGCTGTCTTGGAAGTATTCGTATATTTTGTTACTTAACAAAAGATGACCTTACAATACGCTCTCGTCTTTTTGTGCACCAAAATATGGCAAACAGCTACAACTTACTCTCTCTCTTTTTCACGTTGTAAGGTAGGTTCGTATAAAGACCATTTTCTTATCTGAATTTGTGGCCCAACTTTCTCTTGCAAGGTAAACAAAGTTTCCCAAATGCATGAGAAACTATTCATTTTGATTATAACTTTATCAAAACTGGTTTCCATATCTCCTTAAATATTTTAATTTTTAAATAGTTTCAAGAATACTTAAGGTTTGTTCGACGTTCGGTCATTCTTTCAAATCAAGGAGCCTGAACTTTGAAACGCTTATGCGACACGATGATCGAGCAAGGCACCACCAAGTCATCAACTGATTCAAAAAGTGATCAATCATGGATCCCAATCTATGATGACACTCATTATGTAATGTGGCCCATCACCAAGGCTGATGCATTTTTTAATAAATTCAACTTGGTTCAACTCAAATATGTATTTTAAGCAGCTTCTAGACATATTCAAAGGTTTTTCTCTTTTCATTTATTTTTAACAATATAATAATATTATTCGCTGTTCAAACATTCAAGTCTGTCTGGAGTATATATTAAAGACCTACAAAAAGAAATTGACTTTTCAATCACTAGCAAGACATGCTAAACAATCGGCCGAACTACTTAGGACATGATGAATGTAAGAAAGTTAAAAGCTATGGAAATATAATTTGTAAGAAGAAAGATTAGTATTAAAAAAAAAAAGAGAATTCAAGCCATTCTGAAAATGGGGAGGTCATCTTTAGCAGGTCCAAGAAATATGTCTCGAACCAGAAACAGGAGATTTACGGCTAAAGTGATCACCAAAGGCATACAGCTTATTTAACCTCTCTATTTTTTTTTTTTCTATTTCATGTGCAAGAGACTATTCTCTTGTAAATCATACAAACCGTCCTCAGCCAATCATTAATCATCCATCCTATTTATCTTTCTTTTTTCTTTTATAAATACGGTAAAAAGATGAAGAGACTAGCTGCTAGGTGTAGTGAATCATTTCTCTAGTCTACATCAATAGCAAAAGAAACAAACTTAGCAAATTAAGCATGATATAAATGTGGATATCAAACATGCCAGTCACATGTATGTATACATTAGCTCATACACTCATTCTCTCTATAAGACCTCCAAGAATTTGTAAAAGGTTCACACATGCCACTTATAAAGTACTAAATACGTTGTGAGACAATTTTAATATTTATCTTTGGTCCATGGAAAATTCATTCAAAGGTTTGAGAAAAGGTACATGGACTGCTGAAGAAGATAGTCTCTTGAGGCAGTGCATTGATAAGTATGGAGAAAGCAAATGGCACCAGGTTCCTTTAAGAGCTGGTATTTTATTTCACACATATATAATTAATCACTAGAAATTTTCTTTCCATCTACATAATATTCGAAAGGTTAATTAACAAACGCATATTGATAGTTTCTTCATGAAACAAAAGTCAGACGCCAACCTATGTAAAGTCGTTAACTTCTTTCATTGGTTTTTCTTTTAGTAATTGAACAAAGGGAAATTTCTACACGAAGACGTGTTTTTGAGTGTGAATAGTACATTATTTATATTAGTGTGCATAGATTATTTATGATAATCAATGTCGACTGTTGGTTTTATAGGGCTAAATCGGTGCCGAAAGAGTTGTAGACTAAGATGGTTGAACTATTTGAAGCCAAGTATTAAGAGAGGAAAATTTTGCTCTGATGAAGTAGACCTTCTTCTTCGCCTGCACAAGCTTCTAGGAAATAGGTATATTTTACTCACTACCGTTTTATTTCGGGTCCATAAATTCAATACTAATGTATATGTTCGACAATGCTTAGATGGTCCTTGATTGCTGGTCGATTGCCTGGTCGGACTGCTAACGATATCAAGAATTATTGGAACACCCATTTGAGTAAGAAGCATGATGAACTATGTTGTAAGACGAAGATGATAAACAGAAACATTACTTCCCATCCTACTACTTCGGCCCAAAAAATCGATGTTTTAAAGCCTCGACCTCGATCCTTCTCCGATAAAAATAGTTGCAACGATCTCAATGTCCTGCCAAAAGTTGACGTAGTTCCTTCATGGTTTGGACTCAACAACAATAATGTTTGTGAAAGGAGTATCACATGTAACAAAGATGAGCAGAAAGATAAGCTTACTAATAATCTAATGGATGGAGATAATACTTGGTGGGAGAGTTTACTGGAGGAGAGTCAAGAGGCAGATTTATTCGGTCCAGAAGCTACGATAACAGAAAAAGGAGAGACCTCGGCGTTTGACGTTTCGAAACTTTGGGGTTTGTTTCATGAAGAGACGGTGGAACTAAATTAGTGTTGCTCACCTGTGTGTAGGGTTGCTTTTATGAATTTGAACGAATAATCACCGGCATTTTTAACTATTTTTATGTGATGCTTGGAGCGAAACTAATATTACATGCTGTGGTTTTGGAACTCCGTGAATTACGGGCTTTGGCCCAGAACCTCTTGGTATTAAAAAAAAATAATAATAATGCAATTTTTCTGTTTTTTTTTGTAAATTATATATATATATATATATATATATATATATATATGGCTTTTTAAAAATAATCTTTACATTGAATATTTGTATTCACTTTTTTTAAATGTATACTGTATAAATTTAAATTAAAGGTGGCAGCAGTTGTTCCAATATAACTTAACACGAGTTAACCATCAAGAAAATCACAAGCAGAAGGAACTTTTAAACCAAGAAGATATATAAGGTTTAATAAGGTTGTATGGTCCGAAAGTTAGCAATTTGTCAGTTCGTTAGGAGGAATGACGAATTGTTTAACATTAGGGTTTCTAAGATTTAAATCGATGATCAAAAGAAATCGAGGAACTTTTGGTTCTTTGAAGTTATTATATTTTGTTGTGTGAGGTGATGCGAAGAGAGTGAAGAAAGGATATTTCTGTGACGAAAGATAAAGAGACAACATTGAGCAATTGAGAGAGAGAAAGATGAGATAATCAAGTCAACATTATTGATGTACATGTCCTTTCGAGGATTATGTGGGGTTTCATTCTATCTTCACTCTATCTTCTTTCTCCCTTTTTTATATATGTTTGGGTATGTGTTATGTGCTTAGTCCATACCTAACTATAAATCTCGTGAAAAAAATAACGATCAAAATAGGTTAAATTAACTTCTTATAAATAGATCAACTAAGAAAGTAATAATTTCATAATACTTTCTTATCTTATCTTTTATTTTGGTCAAAACTTTCTTATCTTTCCTAATTAAAAAAAAAAAAAAAAAATTCAATTTTCGTGGCAAGAAATTAACAATTACAGAAGGATTTGTATATCACGTTCCTCCTGGCGCACCCTCGGGCACGCCTCAGTGCAAGAATCTCCAATGATTTGTTCTCTCTAGCTAACTCATCAGATCATACGTTCTCTGTCTATCACTAGATATGTCCTAGAGTTCTTCTTATAAATTGCAGGTTCAAACGCGTCATACTGCTAACACACTCGTTGATCACGTTACGCTAACAATTATGCTAGCTAGTCTCACTCTCTTATCCTGACAAGATGAATAAGGGAGTGGAGAGAAGTATCTAGGGATAAATTTTATCTATTAGGATTTGATCTATCACAGCCCAACACATGACCACACCCAAAGAAGTTTTCCTTAATTGGTAGTAATTCCTACATTAGTCCAATGGGAGACACACATAAGAAATGATACGTGCAGCGGGAGGAAAAATACCCTTATGCATGAAAGGTTGGTGAAAATATTATATGATGAGCACATTTTCTAAGGAAATAGTATTAAAGGTATAATTTTCTCTAACGCACTAATGTGGATACTCCGGTTTTGTGAAGTGGTAGCTTAGTGCCGCCAACCTATTCCACACGTGGCTTCGAACGTAAACCGAGAAGAGGACTACTCTCGCTCCACACGTTCTTGGTACCCGATACATGAATTTAGATGAGGTACTCATTTATAATTACATTTTATAACAATATTTCTCGTAATCCCCAATCAAACTTCCATGTGATCCTCGAATTTCTTTAACAATTTTCTAACGCGAATAATGTCGATTTTCTTCGGGTTCATGTCGGTCGCACAGTATATAAAGTTATGAACTAAAAGTCTAAAAATGCATGGGACAAAAACAAAAACTCTTTAAACTTCTTGTCGTTATTATTATTATAGGTTATCATGTATCAATTAACACGTGGGTTTTGGCAAACAAGAGCCACCGGAAAGGAACTTGTGATTGAATAGTATTATATACATAAGGGTTACACATTTACACGTGTGTAGTCAGCTTTCTGAGAGAGTCATTTCTTGTGGTAAATATAAATTTAGCATTCTTTGGGAAAATACTACAACGTGAAACTTCTAACTAGACCAAAACTTAATGCTTACTTCAGAAAATTTATATAATTTTATGTCAATAAAACATTGCCTGCATAAAAAGTGATTAGTTTTTATTTTATTTCAAATTCCCCCGATATCATATCAGTCTTGTTCATCTGCTATTTCCATGATTTTCGGTTGAAAAGAAATAGGGTTTTCTGCAAAACAATCCTCTAAGTCAATTTCGTTTGCAAGTTTACCCTCCAAATCTGAATTATGCAAGTCAACCCCACAATCTCAAAAGTCACCCGCAATATAGCCCTCCTGTAAAGCGATGACGTTGCACCCGATAACTCCGTTTGAAGAAAAATTACATGGAGGGTTTAACCAAAAAAATTTCTAAAAAATTTTGTTTACCTCCAAATGAGAGATCAGAGAACGTGAGAGAAGATGGTAAGATGGTGGAGATTTTTTTTTTGCTGCTGTTTTTTTTTTTCTTTAGTATTCTGAGATGATTTTTTGTTAAAATAGTGCAACCTATATATACTAGTTTTAATATTAAAATAATTATAATTTTTTTAAAAATTTTTTTATTATCCACTGCGTTTTTCAAAAAGCCGCAGGGTAAAGACTTCTGGCTGTTTTGAAATGCGGTCCGTTCTATTATACAGCGGATAAAACCGCAATCTTTTTTTATTTTATTTTTAAAATGCAAATGTTGTAAAAATTCTTGATTGGTGCATGTGATGTGGTTTTGGGAAAAGTATATAGAAAACCGTTACCAATCATCTCTCTCACTCTCTAAGAGTCTCTTTCTCTTTCTTTTGTTTTATGTCATCAGTCTCCCGTCTCCCTCTCTCTCACTATTTCGCTCGTGCATGGAAAGATTGTCCATTATTCTGTCACAAGAAAAGACAAAATATATAAAAGAACAAGGTCATCTATCAATAATTACTAATAATTTAGTTTTACAGGAAAATGGGCCTTAATGAGATGTTAAACAGGCCAGGTCCATCATTTGTTTCCTTTTTTACATCTGCCTTTTATTCCAATTAGACCGAGTTAAATGTTTGAATCAATTAACTAAACAACAATATCTGAGTCTAATAAGCAAAATGGCAAAAAATTACAATGTTATTCACAAATGGGTATCGAAAATTACAAACATTTCAGTTCGGCGGGAAATGTCTTGACATTAGATATAATACCACGTTTTTTTTTAAATATAGTGATGCATGAAGAGCGCTTAAAAGATTTGATTTTACTTTCAATATTACCAAAGTGTACTTCTCTCTTTCATTAGTTATCATGACAAAAATATAGATATAAGTGTGCTTGAGCTGAAATACCGTGTGATTGAGGACAAGCTAGCAAAAACATGGAGAAATTTTTTGTTGTGATTAGTAGAGTCTGTAAACAAAGTTTTCAAATTTCCAGAAGCATATTGACCCTTGGACAAGTGTAACGTTCCGACCGTCCCTACCAGTGGGTCTCACGTCCTCTCTCGGGTCCATGGGCCCACCCATATCCGACGGCCGGTCCGCTACGTCCGGGAGGTTTTAAAGACTTGTTTACCGATCCTACAAATCACCACATGTTCTTATCCTGTGTTTTGTCCTCACTCACACAGTTCCGACAATCACTTCTCGGAAGGTCACCCATCCTGAAATTGCTCCAGCTCAAGCACGCTTAACTGTGGAGTTCTCTCAGGACAGTTGACCGAAAAGATAAGTGCACTTTGGTAACATAGGTGGCTAAATTAATTATTTTAAACCTCTCCGCATGCACCACCATATTCCTGAAACCGGAGTGTTACAATCCACCCTCATTAACAGATCACAACGCCCTCGTTGCGCACCAAGACCGTCACCCCCTACGGTGTGAGCCCTCTTGATTCCACACTCGTCTAGGTTCGGCTCTGATACCATTTGTAATGCCCCGACCGTCCCTACCAGTGGGCCTCACGTCCTCTCTCGGGCCCATGGGCCCACCCTTATCCGACGGCCGGTCCGCTACATCCGGGAGGCTTTAAAGACTTGTTTACCGATCCTACAAATCACCACATGATCTTTTCCTGTGTTTTGTCCTCACTCACACAGTTCCGACAATCACTTCCCGGAAGGTCACCCATCCTGATATTGCTCCAGCTCAAGCACACTTAACTGTGGAGTTCTCTCAGGACAGTTGACCGAAAAGATAAGTGCACCTTGGTAACATAGGTAGCCAAATCAATTTTTTTAAACCTCTCCGCATGCACCACCATATTCCTGAAACCGGAGTGTTACAATTAGGATAGGATCCACATACTGGAAAAAAGCTTGGAGACCACTAATGGTGGCGGTTGGACCATTACATTAATTTGTCATTGAGTATGAGGATATCAAAAGTTAGAGCTTGAGAACGAAAATATCAAGGGTAAGCTCCTTTCTGATTGAGGCCCCAAAAGTTACGCCTTTTGATACATGATTTTCTCACTTAAGCAACCCAAATCGATCCGTCATTAGAGAAGATCATCCAAATAATCTTCAAACAAAAATTTATTTCAAGTAACTGCATATCTTTTGCCAATCCTTCTATATTTAGGTTTCGAACATGCAAGCCTTCCATGGTACACATGCTCCTCTCGTGGTAGCCAGATGACTTTTCCATAGGAAAGTCGAAGACAAGCTATTTATTAGCTTGAAGGTTCTCTTAGGGATGATGAAGGCAAAACTCCATAAGCTAACCAAACCAATAATAACAGTCTTAAGTAATTGTGCTCGACCAGCAATGGATAAGTGCCTTAATTACTGTCTACGTCTCCATTCTTTTCTTTATCTTGTTAATGAGAAGGGACAAATCCTTGTGGTTTAGCTTCTTATAAGTGAAAGGATGACATAAATACCTAATGGGAAGTGATGCTGCTTCTAATTCAGTGAACTCTATGATCAAGTTAAGCTTTGTTTCGGTTAGCCTTGGATGAAGTTAACTTTTTCTGCTGACATTGATCTCTAAACATGATAGTTTCTTGAAGTTTTTTAGCACTTTGAGAACGTCCTTTAATGATTACAATGAGCCATAAAAAAGGATTAACAAGCTAAGTCATCTGCAAATTGAAGATGGGTAAGCTTGAACTGGTTGCACTTGGGATATTATAATTAAATAACTCAAATTTTGCTACCTTGTTGAGCGTGTGTGAGAGAAAATTGAA